TTTTTTGTTTTTGTTCGATTATAAATCAAAAACTACTCTTTATGAGACTGAACCAACCAAAGAAGAACCAACTGAAACAAGATAAAAAAAAAATATCGCATTAAACGGCATATAACTTGTTAATAAGTTTTAACTTAAAATGGCGAAACTCTTAAGAAATTCTGCAACTTTCGAAAAAGTTAGTAGTAAATTTTTTATAAACAATTTATAAGTTGCTATAATGATCAAAAATCGTACGTACAGTTTTGAAAATTTGAGTTTTAAGAAAAGAAAGTTTCCAGCTGAAGCTGATTGGAAAGAGAAAACATTTACTTTAACTATTCTACTAATCTGATGATACCTTTAGGAGCCCAAAGGGTAATTCAAGCAAGAAAATAACAACTGAGTGTGGGTAGCAGTATTGACGATTTGCTAATTTATTTTATAATTTTCCATGATAAAGCAAATCTAAATTAATTTATGTGAACTTATCACCTTTTTAGAGTCAAACTTCAAAACAAAAACAAGCTTTGGCACGCCTGAGGTGTACGCACAAAATCTACATACAAACATACCATAAATCAGATCGCCTAATGAATAAACCATAAAAAATGTTGTACAAAAATGTTGCATTGCAGGTCAGTAAGCAAAATCGATTAAAGCAAATGCAGTTAGGCGTTGTACAAGCAATTGACATTGACAATGAAGTGAAGATGCGCACAATCGATGCAACTGGCACAGGCAAAAAGTGTAAAAAAAATTGCGCACATCTTTCTTATTTGTGCGTTTGTATGGAGGTATACGTGTAATGCAAGTCAGCTGATACAATTTGAGCGGTTGAACTTGAATAATTGCAATTTGGATTTCAAAAGCGTTCAAGTCCGAGACACTTTACTGGCATTGGCACTTCTAAAATGCAAAAAAAATATATATATAAAGAAATAGAAAAAATTGTATTAAAAAAACCACAAATATTAATTACTATATACTTATCTCGTTTTTAATTGCCAACGGATGAGGCTCCGAGGCAAGCGAAAGGCATAGTCGCTATTTAGCGCCCCTAACAAAGCGTAAAATAAGTTGAACGCTTGCATTTTTGCCAGATTGTACTTGACCCCAGCAAGCAATAAAAACTTAATGTCCGCCAAAAGCATGCACAATTTGTTAAAAATGCAACAAATACTTTACTATAAATATGTTAGAAAAATAACATATGCGTTTTGGGGCAAATCGTAGTAGGGTTGTGACCCAACTGTATGGTAACTAAACACAAGGTGATCTTAATTTCGCACTGCAAATGCACTCGTCTAAAA